ACAATAATCTGTTGTGACAGCTTCTCCCGAAGGGCAGCTGTACTACGTCACTGGCGGGGTTCCGGGTTCGATCCTGACAAAACTCAGGGGAGCTTAGCGAGTTTTATGGCATGTTTTAAGAGTTGCAGCCATGGAAATATTGACGGATACTTACCATCAATGCGTACGTGAGATTAGAGTGATCCCCTGTTGAGACAAAATGGCGACACCACATTAAGGAATAGAAAGCAGACATGTATACTGTATCTAGAAATTAACGAGGGTCCTCTTCGCGTGTTTATAAAGTGATGTTTTTTTGTCTGGTGTATTGGAGTTCAGTATTCTTGGCAAACGTGGGCTTATAATTACAACCAAACAACAAGTAGATTTGATATATACATTTTAAACTGCTATTGATTATTCTGCCTTAGGGATTGGACGTGTTTAAGGCATCCAACTGAATTGTGGATGAATTAATTCAACTGTAATCAGCACCACATTCTTGCAGTGACGACATGCGATGAGCAATGGATTGTGGCTTCCTGAAATTCTTACAGAATCAGAAATTTGGTTCTACGTGCGGCGTTGTGAGTGAGGATAGTTTTACGCCGCGTTATGCAATATTCCAGCATTATCACGGCGGGCTTTACTCGTTGTACCCATGTGGAGGATCGAACCCGGGTCTTCGGCGTGACGAACTGACGCTTTAACCACTAGGCTACCCCACCGGTGCGGCATTGTAGTCTGTGGGGTGCTAAAGGGTGTCCCATAGGGATTGTCAGAAAGTGGGCGGGGCGGTGTGGCTGTACAGTACAGTCAGTGAGTCTGCCGTGAGTTTCACTCATGGGCATTGAGTTACAGGAATGTGGTTACGCCACTTTTAGCAATATTCTTCCGAAATCACAGTAGGGTGGAAACGACCAATGGCTTTCAGTACCAATGTGAATTATCAAACCCGGGTTTGCAGCATCAGTCTCAAGACTACATCACCGCCCAGTGTTTGCTACAAAGAGGTGAGGTGAGGTGAAATTGGGTTTAACGTCGTACTTGAGAATATTTCGCTCATATGACGACGTGCATGCGTGTGTATGTGTATGTGCGGCTGCTTGTACTAGCCCCGACTGAAGCTGGTTTTATAGTGCTAGCCCACTGAGATACCATGCCGCAGTGAAGCATGAATACCCCACTCAGACACTTTATACTGACTCCGAGGCGACCAGTCTTTGTTGTACCCATTAATGCCGAGCGCCAGGCAGGGACCAACATGGACCATATCGTTTCATACAATGAAAAGTAGAAACATTTTAAAGATTTGACGCGGTCGGGGATCGAACCCGCGACCTTCCGCTCTCCGGGCGGACGCTCTAACCACTACACCACGGAGGCGGTCTTGCTACAAAGATACGTGGTTTATGTGATCAGTGTCATTATCAACGTAAGACAGTTTAACTCCAACAGCACCAACCGTGACATTCGCTCCTCCCGTTCCTAGTTTTTAGGCTAGTCACCCGTATACACGAATTTACTGTATAACATGTACTGTTGACCCTTGACCTCTCGGTATTATGGATAATCACAGATCGAACGTTTCGAGCTGTAAGAGATTTGGGCCAACACGTTTCATGGTGGGAGACACGGGTCCATCTCCTGATGGGACATGTGTCACTATGGTGAAACCCACGAGCACGGGTAGGGTGTGACCAGCCTCGACTTGGTTGGTTTGTTGTTTAACGCCGCAGTGTATGGCAGCAGTCTCTTAATAATCGAGTCTGGGCCAGGCAATCCAGTGACCAACAGCATGAGCATCGATCTACCCAATTGGGATACCATGACCTGTCAACCAAATTAGTGAGCCTGAACCACCCGATCCCGTTAGTCGCCTCTTACAAGCATGGGTTACTGAAGATCAATTCAAACCCGGATCATATAGGGGCACTGATCTCCCCAAAATGCCCGTGACTGGTTGTTGTCTTTGCATACTATGGATACCTGGATCATATCGCAGAAATCTAGACTGGTCAGCGATCTATACTGCGCCATCTCTAAGCGCAATTTACAGTATAAGGGCGTATCCTCGCACTAATCAAAATAATGTCATATACACTTTCGTCATGGAATTAATTGGAAAAGCCATCTTTGTGACCACTTGGTCTGTTGGTATTCATCAGTAAGGACTCACTAGAGTTTAGACAAACAACAAATATGATATTGATACAGGTATGTTTATTGTACGCATGTAATGTTACATCCCTTCACGCTTCCACCATCACCCGAAGCTGAAGAGCAGATTGGCCACTTGCCATGCTGTTCCGTATCTATTAACGCTGTCAATGGTGATAAACTACATGGTACAAGTCAAGGATGGGTCATGTTGTAGTCAATATTAACACTGACAGAGAATCTGGCAATAGCTTCAACAGGCGATTTCAGTAGGAAACAGTAGCCTATAGTAGTGGTATTAAAGTCATTAACATTATTTACTCATGGAAACGAATAAAGTAACCCACGAAAGTGAAAGTGTTGCCATGCTCTTTTCCCAGTTTTCCCTGTGGGTGAAAAGGTTTCTTGTCATGCTATACATTGCACTGTGGGTGGAAATCTGGAAATAAATAAATGAACACTTGTACCTCGTGTTTTCCCATATTCGTTTCCATGATTATCATTATTCTTTGAGAGTAAGATGCAGTTTCTGGATTAAGATGGCACAGACTTACATGTCACTCTATATTACATCCATCTCAGATCCTAGGCCTGCCAATAGCCATGGATAATTAGTTCCTGCGAGTTTTGTAGCACTTGCTTTCAAATTCACACTGACTGACTGAGTTTGGTTTTACGCCGCTTTTAGCAATATTCCAGCAACATCACGGCAGGACACCAGAAATGGGCCCCAAATTCACACTAACAAATATTTTGACATCAAGCAAAAATATGGTCCAAAATGAAAGGCCATGATTCCTAAAGCTCTCTTTACAACTGAGTGACAATAGTTTTACAATGGTATGACCCCACTTAGCATTCCAATCATGTCACCATGGGCACCAGAACATGGCTTCAATACTGCACCCATGCGAGGAATCGAACCCAGGTCTCTGGCGTGACGAAATTTGCCCCTTAATATATACAAGGATAGTCAGTTTGACACACATTCCATTGTTTCATTACCTCGCTATTTCACCAAAGAAAAACGTGATGAAATCATCTGAATGTTCCAACAGAAATTTCCGGTCCTCATATTTTTAACAATTCCCAAAGGTTTTCTAAGATGTGCTTCCTGGATACATGTAACACACACATGGACATACATCAGTTTGTATCCACGGAAATCCTCTGATACTACGATAAAAATTACAAAAATAGTCTTTACTGTATTTACAAAACCTGGATGGTTACAAAGTAGCACACACAAGGTAACTTCTGTATACAGATGAAAGCGCACTCTCTCTCACCAGTGTCACATTTCATTGGATAATCACATACATAATATTTATTACCTACTTTTAATATGATGTTCACTGGGAATAACAGTATTGAACGCATTTGATATTTGTAAATCTGTTACCTAGTTTTTGGTTGAATAACCAACTTTGATGTCACAGAGCAACAAATTGTGCCAATAGATCCATGCACCGTGTAGTAATGTCCTCAGTCAATTAAATTCAAATATAACATATCTCATAATAATGACAATATATTTCACGCAAGATTAGAGTCACCTCGCCATTGTGATTTCAAATGAACCGTTTTTCCTCTAATAAGCTCGATGAGGCTTTATTAATTTCACTGAGCTGCTGGTACCGTAGTTAACAGAAACTTGCTACTCATTTCATGGTAAATGTGAGCGGGTATGGTTTATAAGCTGCTTTTAGCAATAGTTGAACCCATGCCCTTGGCGTAATGACTGACTGACTGACTGAGTTTGGTTTTACGCCGCTTTTAGCAATATTCCAGCAACATCACGGCGGGGGACACCAGAAATGGGCTTCACACATTGTACCCATGTGGGGAATTGAACCCCTTGGCGTAATGAGTGATCACTTTAACCACTAGGCTATTCCACCACCTCTGGAAAAATGTGCTTGAATGGGATCATTTATATGTAGATGACTTTTTCTTGATGTTAAACGTACATACACAGTGGTCCATAGAGACCTGGCCCCTTCCACCACAAACACAACGGACTGCAAGTATTCCCAGACAACAACTAACAAGTCATAAATGGACACATTGTCTACCAAGGAATCTGAGTTCAAGTCACAATATATCCTACAGTAACATAGGAACCATTGTCCATTAATGTCCAAACATTAGTTGCAAGGAACAACCAAAAATAATCCTTAGCAGACAATGAGTGCATTTACAGGGATGTTAAGTGGAGACAAGGCAATATTAATAGTTATTCTCACTCAGAGGCAAAAATGCAGGCATTTCTGCATGACCTGTGTTGTTCTGGGTAGAAATAATTTGTATTTTCTTGTCTAATAATCTACTTCACACTTCGTATACACCATCACCGCCCTAATCAACACAACAGCGCTAGGCAGTTACATCAACAACACAGTATTGGCAACTACTTCTAAGTGGCAACTACTTCGCACACGGCAGTGTATAACACAGAGATGCCAACCCCAAAGCATTGCAAATAGTAGTTTCAAGGAGAAAAATTAGTTGTTTGGCCATAAAATTAGTAGTCAACTAAATACATAAAAATCATGATGGATTCTGAGAAACATAATATTACACTAATCAAGAGTGAAGCTTTAATTTCATAAACGAAAATATATGTTTTTTGTCTATATATCCGAATTTTAATAAATTTTCTTCAAATTTGTAAGAATTTCTAGTGCAATTGTATTGGCGTAGTTTGAGGCTAAAATTCGTATCGTAGAGGTTGGCATTTTATAATCTCTACATCTCTAATGTATTTTATTATCATTCTTTCAATGAAAGGATAACCTTTGATAGCTATTATGACAATGAGAAACACAAATGCAACATCAATTGTCAAGACCGAGAACATATTATCAGTTAAGCCTTTATTCCAAATCTGGGCAATATAACACCTAATATGAATAATATTACAATAGCATTTGGTAATGGTTCTGTGTACATTTGTCGTCAATAGCAACTCCAAGTCCACAATACTGTATAGCCTGTGAAACCATTACCCCTAGCCAGTATGGATTTGATTATCACAATAACCTGGAACTATATAACAATAGGAGTACATAGAAACCATTACTGATTTCATTCTGTCTTTGATATACACATATACTGCTCAAAACAAGTTAGAGAACCTGATTCTTATATATTATTATAATTAATCTGTCATGTGATAGCAGATTAACTGTTGTAGTGTACAAAATTTGGTGTAATTCAGCTTTTTGTGTGTAGCTTATCACACAGTACATGAGGTCACAATAAAATTCAGTCATTAAAATATTCAATGATTAATTACTGACAACATGCATATTGTTTTAAACACAGTTCTAAGTCAGGACCAGAACAAAGTAAACTGAACAAAAACTACCATCCATACAGAATTATATGTATAGTGCTCACTTCATAAATACACAAAACATCTAAAATAGCAGGGTAAACATTCACCATTTCTGGCTAAGCACTTAGTACCATAACATAGCAACAAACATAGCACTTGTCATCATAATGAATACAACTTTCATTGTCATAACAAACAGCACTTTTCTCGTTTTAAAACACATAAAACACAAAACACTATCAGCTTGCTATTTGGAGCTCCAAGCTTATTGTAAAACCTTCTGTCTTGTGATATCACAGACACAACACAAGTTGATAAAGGTTTAAAACTCTGATACTTTTAACAACTTGTGTAGATACATTTGTCATCAGCGGACACAAGGGTGGGATTATATTTATAATCCAAAATGATTCTTCCAAATTTTTCAATTTGTCAACAAAAATAAACAATATCTTGATTGTGAAAAGTACAGCTAACTAGCTTCAGTGGCAGAGGGATTAGTGATGTCACTTGACTGTGATGTCATGGTAATGATGACATCACAATGGTCTATAATACACTCATAGAATTTCATCTCAACCAAGAGATCACATGTGAAAGCCAGTTTTAGATGATAGAAGATAATATATAGAGGCTACAGATGAAGTCAAACACAACATTAGCAGATGCACCAATTCTGCTAATGTGAAAATATATTCCATAATTAAGATATCACATAGCCATTTGACAACACTTTGTCAAGAAAGCCCCTCAGCTACCAAAGATAGAAGGAAAACTTTCATAACAATCTCCTGGACAGAACTCACCATTTCAATTATCTTACAAAATCATGTTTTATATACATAATGCTCAAAATTATATAACAAAGTTCAATGGTAAGTATTAATAAACTTTCTACTCTTGTATTAGTAGACAACTGCAATCTATTGAAGCATATTTTCTTCATTTTACCCCTGAATCCAAGAGAGGGGTTGAGAAATGCATACATAAATTACAATGACAGTTTACTGTTAAATCCTGGTGTAGCTCTGAGCATGATCTTTATCTCACTAAAATTAACAAAAGTAAGTAAGATTTTATGCCGCTTTTAGCAATATCACGGCAGGGGACACCAGAAATGATCTTAACACATTGTACGTAGGGAATGGAATCGAACCCGCGTCTTCAGCGTAATGAGCGGATGCCATTAGGCTACCCCATTGCCTCAATTAACAAAATACCGTTCGTAAAATACTTAAGTTATCTATTCAATCAGTCAGTACTGTGACTCTCACTGTAACCACCAAATCATACATTATCCCCAAGCATGCCATGACAGTTGTTGGTACAGATACCACGCCCCATTATGTGGTATTCCAGATGCTGCTGCAACATGCTGGATGCCAGCAAATGTTCACCTAGTCAACAGATGCCAGCAATTCAATGTAAAATGGTTCTTTCTTCTAGAAAAGAATGACAAATCAATAAAATGTTGAGCCTTAAGCTTAAAAAATGAATATGTAAAATGTCCAGTCTAAGGTTGTACCATATGTTATATTTGGGATTACACTTTCTTAGTAAAGTACAAATTCTAGTACTTTTTGAGTTGAGCCCCATCCGGGAATCGAACTCACACTCATTACAACTGAGATACACGTTAGCACAGACTGATGATAGGGTGCACAACTTGATCACTTCCGGGAAACAGGTCTCAGCAAGATTCTACAAGTTATCTTAGTTTTTATTGATATGCACATGCATTAACACTGGACACAAGCAGAGCAGACAGAGGGCCCTGTAAAAGTGGGTCCCAGACATGTTCCTTGAAACATGTTATCCATGTCAATGACAAATGAAATACTTGTCTCCATGACAACATTTAATGATTAGATATTGAGCAGCATTTTTTGTACATTCATTGGAATTGTTCGAATATCTTAAGCTGTGTATGAAATAAGGCCCGTCCAACCGCCCGAGACAGTCTAGATTTCTGACAGACGGTCTAAATTTACAGCTAGCCAGACCGATGGTCTGGTAAAATTCTTTAGATGTTCCATACATCTGAGTAAATTCACCATATTTGGTCTGGTTAAATCCATTTTGGACAGGTAACATTTTGAAGTTACCAGCCCTGATGTCTGGCTGGATTTTTGGCGTATTTCATACACTGATCTTAAGTGACATCCCTACTAACAAACAATGCAGTTCACAAGCTTACTGTCTATAACAAAAGCCAGTAGTGTACATCGGAAATCATTTTGTAAATAGATCCGACCTCTTTTACTGTAAATACATTAGAAATTACAAAAATAATGCCCAGTTTTCACACACAGCACTAAATACTCAGACCTTGATTTGAACTGGGTTGTCGTCTGAAGCACAGTCTTCACAAAGACCAGAAATATGGTATGAAACTATTTCTCTATTACCTCTAAGGTACAAGTCTTGCTATCTGTACCTCTGAACTAAACCTGCATTAGTAAACTGTGTCAACCCTTAACTCCCAGGCCGGCACTCTAGCAGCCTGGGATGCCTTCCTCCATAACCGTTTCTTCAAGATTAAGCAGAGCGGCAGGCAGATAGAGTCTTTGGCAGAAGCAGATAACACAGGACTAGGAGGCGTTTACTACACCGTCACCACTTCGGCAGGCACTCATGGACGTTCGGCAACTGAACAGGAAAAGAATTCTAGTGAAATATTTATGGTAGTCTGACTGTAGCTAAGTTGCTAAAGCACTTGTTGGTTGTGAGTAAAATTATGGTTTGATTTCAATAATCGGGTATAATGTATTAGCCCATTTCTGATGGCCCCCGTGATATATTGATGTAAATTGATAAATCGTTGGAACACAGGGATACATTTTTAAAACGTCATTGAGTCAGCTATTAAAGTCTTCTTGTGAGATAACAGCGTACACAATATTGCCTTGGGTGTATCATTTGTCTGCATGTTGTTTTATGCCTCACCTATATGAGAGTGGCCTGTACATCAACAAACCTGGACAAAGTCAGTGAGTGAGTTGGTTTAGTTTTATGCCGCTTTTAGAAATATTCCAGCAATATCATGGCAGGGGACACCAGAAATGGGCTTCACAATGTGTACCCATATGGGGATCAAACCCAGGTCTTCAGCGTGACAAGCAGAGGCTTTATCTATTAGGCTACCCCACCACTCCTAACCTGGACAGACAATCCAGTGATTGAAGTCATGAGGAACAACCTGGATTCTCAGAGTCAACCAAGTCACCAAGCTGATCCATGACACATAATCACCAAACCGATTCATGACACATAATTACCAAGCCAATCCATGACACATAATCACCAAGCCGGGCCATGACACATAATTACCAAGCCGATCCATGACACATAATTACCAAGCCAATCCATGACACATAATCACCAAACCGATCCATGACACATAATTACCAAGCCGATCCATAATCACCAAGCCGATCCATAACACATAATCACCAAACCGATCCATGACACATAATTACCAAGCCGATCCATGACACATAATTACCAAGCCGATCCACGACACATAATTACCAAGCCGATCCACGACACATAATTACCAAGCCGACCCACGACACATAATCACCAAGCCGAACCATGACACACAATTACAAAGCCGATCCATGACACATAATTACAAAGCCGATCCATGACACATAATTACCAAGCCGATCCATGACACATAATCACCAAGCTGATCCATGACACATAATTACCAAGCCGATCCATGACACATAATTACCAAGCCGATCCATGACACATAATTACCAAGCCGATCCATGACACATAATTACCAAGCCGAACCATGACACATAATTACCAAGCTGATCCATGACACATAATTACCAAGCCGATCCATGACACATAATCACCGATCCATGACACATAATTACCAAGCCGATCCATGACACATAATCCATGACCAAGCCGATCCATGACACATAATTACCAAAGCCGATCCATGACACATAATCATCACCAAACCGATCCATGACACATAATTACCAAGCTGATCCATGACACATAATTACCAAGCCGATCCATGACACACATAATTACCAAACTGATCCATGACACATAATCACCAAGCCGAACCATGACACATAATTACAAAGCTGATCCATGACACATAATTACCAAGCCGATCCATGACACATAATCACCAAGCCGATCCATGACACATAATTACCAAGCCGATCCACGACACATAATCACCAAGCCGATCCATGACACATAATCACCAAGCCGATCCATGACACATAATTACCAAGCCAATCCATGACATATAATCACCAAACCGAACCATGGCACATAATCACCAAGCTGATCCATGACACATAATTACCAAGCCGATCCATGACACATAATTACCAAAGCCGATCCATGACACATAATCACCAAGCCGATCCATGACACATAATCAATAAGCCGAACCATAATTACAAAGCCGATCCATGACATCCACACATAATTACTAAGCCGATCCATGACACATAATTACCAAGCCGATCCATGACACATAATTACCAAGCCGATCCACATAATTACCAAGCCGATCCATGACACATAATTACCAAGCCGATCCATGACACATAATTAACCAAGCCGATCCATCACACATAATCACCAAGCCGATCCATGACACATAATTACCAAGCTGATCCATGACACATAATCATACAAGCCGATCCATGACACATAATCACCAAGCCGGATCCATGACACATAATTACCAAGCCGATCCATGACACATAATTACCAAGCCGATCCATGACACATAATTACCAAACCGATCCATGACACACATAATTACAAAGCTGATCCATGACATAATCACCAAGCCGATCCATGACACATAATTACCAAGCCGATCCATGACACATAATTACCAAGCCGATCCATGACACATAATTACCAAGCCGATCCATGACACATAATTACCAAGCCGATCCATGACACATAATTACCAAGCCGATCCATGACACATAATTACCAAGCCGATCCATGACACACATAATTCCCAAACACAAGCCGATCCATGACACATAATTACCAAAGCCGATCCATGACACATAATTACCAAGCCGATCCATGACACATAATTACCAAGCCGATCCATGACACATAATTACCAAGCCGATCCATGACACATAATTACCAAGCCGATCCATGACACATAATTACCAAGCCGATCCATGACACATAATTACCAAGGCCGATCCATGACACATAATTCACAAGCCGATCCATGACACATAATTACCAAGCCGATCCATGACACATAATTACCAAGCCGATCCATGACACATAATTACCAAGCCGATCCATGACACATAATTACCAAGCCGATCCATGACACATAATTACCAAGCCCGATCCATGACACATAATCACCAAAGCCGATCCATGACACATAATTACCAAATGATCCATGACACATAATTACTAAGCCGATCCATGACACATAATTACCAAGCCGATCCATGACACATAATTACCATGACGACACATAATTACCAAGCCGATCCATGACACATAACCAAGCCGATCCATGACACATAATTACCAAGCCGATCCATGACACATAATTACCAAGCCGATCCATGACACACATAATTACCAAGCGATCCATGACACATAATTACCAAGCCGATCCATGACACATAATTACCAAGCCGATCCATGACACATAATTACCAAAGCCGATCCATGACACATAATTACCAAGCCGATCCATGACACATAATTACCAAGCCGATCCATGACACATAATTACCAAGCCGATCCATGACACATAATTACGCCAAGCCGATCCATGACACATAATTACCAAGCCGATCCATGACACATAATTACCAAGCCGATCCATGACACATAATTACCAAAGCCGATCCATGACACATAATTACCAAGCCGATCCATGACACATAATACCAAAGCGATCCATGACACATAATTACCAAGCCGATCCATGACACATAATCACCAAGCCGATCCATGACACATAATTACCAAGCCGATCCATGACACATAATTACCAAGCCGATCCATGACACATAATCACCAAGCCGATCCATGACACATAATTACCAAGCCGATCCATGACACATAATTACCAAGCCGATCCATGACACATAATTACCAAGCCGATCCATGACACATAATTACCAAGCCGATCCATGACACATAATTACCAAGCCGATCCATGACACATAATTACCAAGCCGATCCATAATTACCAAACCGATCCATGACACATAATTACCAAGCCGATCCATGACACATAATTACCAAGCCGATCCATGACACATAATTACCAAACCGATCCATGACACATAATTACCAAGCCGATCCATGACACATAATTACCAAGCCGATCCATTACACATAATTACCAAGCCGATCCATGACACATAATTACCAAGCCGATCCATGACACATAATTACCAAGCCGATCCATGACACATAATTACCGATCCAAGCTGATCCATGACACATAATTACCAAAGCCGATCCATGACACATAATTACCAAGCCGATCCATGACACATAATTACCAAGCCGATCCATGACACATAATTACCAAGCCGGGCCATGACACATAATTACCAAGCCGATCCATACACATAATTACCAAGCCGATCCACTACACATAATTACCAAGCCGATTCATGACACATAATTACCAAGCCGACCCATGACACATAATTACCAAGCCGATCCACGACACATAATCACCAAGCCGATCCATGACACATAATCACCAAGCCGGGCCATGAAATCACCCTTAACAGTAGCTTATGTTGCTGGAAGTCAATCGAAACCCAGAATCCCCACAGACAGGGAGTTAGTACACATGTTCAAAGAGTTAAGAGAATTAACATTTTGAATCCTTACCAGGGGGCTCTAGTGGTACTCCACTGTCACCGCCTTTGTCTTGAGGTATTCATTGTGCGCCTCTTGACCTACAACACAAGGGAATATGTATACAGGCATGACATTAAACACATGCTCTTTGATAAATCAACATCAGGGGAGATAATTAGTCAGAACTACAGAACTACAATGTTGTTTTCAATATACATGATCATTGTATCAGGACCTTACAGCATGAGATGTATTTGTGAGTTAAGTACCTGAGGTTCCTTTCAGGATGTGACATAAAAAAGACAGTGTCACTTATATATGTATTCCACTGAATCGCTGGTTTCAAGTTTTTAATGCTAAGAACATCATTCCGGTTATATCTTGTGGTAGGAAAGCTCCAAGTGATACAAATCTTAAGCAAATAAGGTCTTGACAAAAACAGTCAATTGGCACAGTGGGGAGCTACAACTGGTGGCAGTGATAGCATATAAGAGTTCAGCAATTGATATAACACTGTAAGGAGCTTGGAGTCTGTATGTGGCCACAGTGCTGACAGAGTTACTTCCCCTTCACTAACATTTGGCGATTGCTCAGGAATATTATTTGAACAATATTCATTTCTCCTTGTGTCTAAAGTTAAAGTTCTTCTTTAATTCAAATTCAAATTCAGTACCTATGCCTTCTGCAGTGTTAGATGAACAATACTAGACAGGAAATATATTACCCAAATCTTTCCCAAATCCGGACTGCTTGAAGCCCCCGAATGGAGCTGCCACGTCAGTCTTGTTGTAGGTGTTGACGAAGACGGTGCCAGCCTGGATGCTGTCAGCAACATGGAGAGCCTTGTTGATGTCCTTGGTGAACACGCCCGAAGCCAAGCCATACTCAGTGTCATTGGCTCGACGGATCACACCTTCTACGTCCCTGGAAGACAAACAAGTGAGTGAGGAAACAAACCTGGGATTCAAACCTAGAAACACCAGCCTGTGATTTAAACCCACAGCTACAGGCTTCAGGCACACCTAACACCAGAAAGTGAACCAGTCAGAAGGTGCACATGACAAAAGGCAATGTAGCATTATTGGATGCTTCCCAGGGAGGAGAGAATGTAAAATATCACAAAGCATGAGGTGAGGTGAGGTGAAATTGGATTTAACGTCGTGCTTGAGAATATTTCGCTCATATGATGATGTGCATGTGTGTGTGTGTGTGTGTGTGTGTGTATGTGCAGCTGCTTGTACTAGCCCAGACTGAAGCTGGTTTTATAGTGCTAGCCCACTGAGATACCATGTCGCAGTGAAGCATGGATACCCCACTCAGACACATTATACTGACTCCGAGCTGACCAGTCCTTGTTGTACCCATTTAAGCCGAGAGCCAGGCAGGGACCAACAAGTACCATATTTTAACGTCTTTTGGTATGACGCGGTCGGGGATCGAACCTGACCTTCTGCTCTCCGGTGGGCGCTCTAACCACTACACCACGGAGGCGGTCACACACAGCATGAGGGTTAGCACTGATATGTATTGGATTCCCTACAAATCTATATTAATACATCAAGAAATGTTGACATGTCTCTGATGCGATCAATAATATTAATACAACTAAAACTGATAATGATAAAGATGATGATCCATTGACGGTATACTGCTACTGACCCATCAGGGAAGGTGGAGATTATCATTATAGGGCCAAATGATTCTTCTTCAGCGACAAACATGTGATCCTCAACACCTGTGAACACTGCCGGCTCCAGAAACAGTCCTGCAACATGATGAAGTCACATACATAACTTCCCCGTATTTCTGACAGCTCTGTGAATTATCCACAACCCACCTGGCCCCTATCTCCACCACACAACCCACCTGGCCCCTACCCTCACAACACAACCCACCTGGCCCCTATCTCCACCACTAAACCCACCTGGCCCCTATCTTCACAACACAACAACCCACCTGGCCCCTATCTCCACAACACAACCCACCTGGCCCCTATCTCCACCACACAACCTACCTGGCCCCTATCTCCACCACACAACCCACCTGGCCCCTACCCTCACCACACAACCCACCTGGCCCCTACCCTCACCACACAACCCACCTGGCCCCTATCTTCACCACACAACCCAGCTGGCCCCTATTTCCACCACACAACCCACCTGGCCCCTATCTCCACCACACAACCCACCTGGCCCCTATCTCCACCACACAACCCACCTGGCCCCTATCTCCACCACACAACCCACCTGGGCCCCTATCTCCACCACACAACCCACCTGGCCCCTATCTCCACCACACAACCCACCTGGATCCTATCTCTCCACCACACAACCCACCTGGGCCCTATCTCACCACACAACCCACCTGGCCCCTATCTCCACCACACAACCCACCTGGCCCCTATCTCCACCACACAACCCACCTGGCCCCTATCTCCACCACACAACCCACCTGGCCCCTTTCTCCACCACACAACCCACCTGGGCCCCTATCTCCACCACACAACCCACCTGGGCCCTATCTTCACCACACAACCCACCTGGCCTGTCCACCTGCTTGCCTCCGTACACCAGCTTGGCTCCCTCCTTCACCCCTGTGTCGATGTACTCCAGCAGCTTGTTGAAGTGAGCCCGATGATTCTGTGGCCCGTGGTCAGTAGATCTGTTCAGTGGGTCGCCAATCTTCATCTTCTTGATTTCTGCAATCTGGCAACAGAGGATTTCCTTAAGGTTTCTTCCTACACAGCTATATCACGGACACTATGCTTAACATGTTCAGAGCTGAACTCAAATCAAATAACTGTTAGCAGTTTACAGAGAGGGACTGAATCAAGTTTATACCTCTTTAAATGGTAATTAAGCAAAAGGAAGCGAGTTTTTATAGATGTCAACTTCTTTATTATGAGGAACACAAGGTTTCGGAGTATATCCTTACTCCTTCATCAGGTGAATGAATAGTATGAGGCAGAGAGCATCTATATGCCATTCAAAGACCATTAATCATGCAGTAACATCATTTTAACACTATTGAAATATATGAAACAGTGTCAGCTGAAAGTGGGATGATAGCCCTCAGTAAAGCAACTCTGTTTAATTACCACTCTGGTCAAACCCACAAAGAGGTATGGCTCTGACAAACCCAGATATAGTCTGGGTGAATTGACCCAGCTGTCATAGGTTCCTGCACAACTGATTGTGGCACCATAGACGACAGGGCCCCCTGTGCCCATGCTTGAAGACTGAGAATTGTCTTGACACATTGTACCAGTGTGGGGGATCAAACCTAGGTCTACTATATGACACAAGTAAACCCTAGAACTACTTGGCCACCACTCCACCCTATTCATACATTTGTGCTTTCTTCGTTAAAATACAAACTATTCACAGTGAAATATGTATATTTTAATACAATCTAATGCACCTTTCACTGAATATCTACAAAATATTTTCTTTATTGACATGATCCTGGTACTTGAAACATTTACGTCCTTCAGGACCAAACTTCTCCAACAGAATCACGCTCAACTCACCACTCGGCGGACATATTCGTCATGTATGGATTCTTCTACAAACAGTCGTCCAGCTGCGATGCAGTTCTCTCCCTTGTTGAAGAACACGGAGCTCAATCCCTAGAACAACAGTGTCAAATTATATAACACCATAGCTTTGTAATGAAGCTCAACTTTCTAACTTTGAAAAAAAACACATCTCACAGGAGATTCAACTGCATTAAAATTCACTGAAATGCTTTGCAAGCCACTAAGATTGTCATTAGTTACCCATATAGTTTTCAGCAATATCACGGTAAAGTGGGCTTTACACATTGCACCCATGTTGAGAATCAAACCCGTGTCTTTAGTATGAGAAGCAAGCGCTTTAACCACTAGGCTACTCCACTGCCCCTAATGCTCATGACACAGCTTATTACAGATGTACTTAAAACAACTGATGGGTGAGTTTGTATGATAAATAGAATATTACACTCATGTACATTGAATAGTGGAATACATTTTAAAACTCCTTCACAAACCTAATAATTTGAAACTTTATTTGGCTCATTGTGATATCAAAATACATGTGGGTAAAAATCAATTTATCATCCATATCCATTCTTTAAACTTTAATACTTGGGTGAAACCCCCATCGAGATCTGTACATGTTGCATACCATCCTGACGGCCTTGTCCATGTCGCAGTCGCTGAAGATGATGAGGGGGACTTGCCTCCCAGCTCCAGAGATACCTTCTTCAGGTTGGCATTGGCACAGCTGTCAACAGATTCAAACTACAGTTGCATCTCGGCATCACCTTACACAGTGACTCATGGTCAGGAGGCTGTGGCTTTGGGGCATGTGTTCCAGAGTTTGGCATGCAGATTCAATGAAAAGATTGATTTTTTAATTGTAATTTAGCATACATACAGCTATCTCACTGCAGTCTACATTTTACATATTTTGGACCAGACAAACCATCCTATTACCAATCATACATTCCCACATAATTCTCCTGGTCAAACCATGAGCCATTGACCATTAACCCACACAAAAGACCAATCCAAAGATTTAAAAGCTTTCAGATCCAAGGGAGGAATTCAAGTAAGTCTGTATGGATTGATGCCAGATTTACCAATATTCCATCAATATATTGGTACAGGACAAGAGAAACAAGAAGACAAAGTCATCAATACCCCGCAACGGCAAATTACTCTTTATGAATATGTCTACGTAGTTATGATTATGTCAAATGTTTTGGAGTGTATACAGCAAAGTGGAAGGAGAGTACTGAAAGGTTTTTAAGATCTGCTCCAGAAAGGAGCACTACCATCAAATTCAGTTGAAGCCTAACTTGTTGCCATGGAAATGCAACAAGATGACATCCTCATAGTCACAGCCTAAGTCACGTTTCCATGGAAACCACACAAAATAAAATTCATATCTGGGTCTAAACCCCAAAAGGCACATCTAGGCATCATGCTTGATATGTGTACCAAGTTTGATGAAGCATGTATAGACACAAAGCCATCACACACGTCACAGATGTCAACAATCTCAGTCTACAGTCTCCTTACTCACCTGGCCATGATGGTCTTGCCGATGGGAGTGGATCCGGTGAACCCAAGCTTCCTGACATCAGGGTGGTCCGACAGGGCCTGCCCCACCTTGGAACCTAGGAGGGATGGGGGAGTGAGTGAGTGGGTGTGAGCTCAAACATTTCCATCATATCACAACATGTCCGTGTAATGAGGGAGTAAACCGACTAAAAGACATATAAAACCTTTCATCAATACTTGCCTGTTCATGGAAGTGTAAACATAAGAAATAATGGAACTGGGATTTTTTTACTGTTAATTTTGTATGATTCCGAAGTATTTTATCAAACTAATTTCTGCATTCAACACAAACTAAGCACAATAGCCCCTTTATCCTGTTGTTTCTATTATCAGATGTATTCAAGGTACTTATACAGTATCTTTTTAATATTTCCAACATGTAACATGAATAGGCATGTTCATAAATTCCAATTTGTGAATTCACACTGATGCAGATTTGGGCATGATAAGGTCCTCATAACCTCTGAATTAAATTCTTCTTCAAATCCATGTTATTGACTATTTATCTGTAAAAAATGTAAATGATAATTTTATCATTTCTGGTCTTTGTCAACTATTTGGTCCCCAGTATATATGTGACTTGTCTCATGAAAGATTTCAACTCTGATCAATCTGGCATCAGAGCTGTTGAACATCTTGTCATGACGCCATATTGTTCCTCCACACCCAAACAGGAGCAGACAACTCTTGGTCTGACCTGTCCCGTTAAAGTAGAGGTTCAGATATCTTGACATACATCAAACTGTTGTACTCTCACTGATGCTAACCACAACTGGTTAACTTCCTCGATCAAACAACGAACAATATTGGAATTATAATAATCAGTTGATTTTATCTACGATTTCACATCATCATAATGAATGAATACACTGTCAGTTTTGTTTCTCATGAAAGAACAGATTCTAGTACTTATTTATACCTGGGTCCCATCTGGGATTCAAACCCACACTCTCAGCATCAGGCACCTAATAGCAAGCACTAAATATCAGTCAGGGCTCCAGATAAGGGCTCTATGAGCGTATATACGGATATAAGATAAGCACGATACGGTAGCAAATAATTTAGAAAATTGAGCAAATACGCACCACAGCAATGGTGTTAGGTCATAGCATCATTTACAGACGTATTTATCTGAAGAAATATTGTTTCATTGTTTATTGACCTGTTTACACAAGATTAGCAATGTTGTGGTGCATATATGAAACGGAACACAAGATTACTGTTACTCCATTATATTCCATTCAGTATTCTAAATGTACTCTTATTGTTTTCCAGTACTCCCATATTGAAAAAGTAAGGAATACGTACTCCTGATCATGAAAAAGTATCTGGAGCCCTGATCAGCGATCAAACCCACTCAGCCAACACGTCTACCACAAAATGGAAGTGTACTACAACGGGTAGTCTAGGTCACATACTTTGTGTACCCCTAAGTTAAGTGTAAGCTATGAAGACACAAAGCCTTTCAGAAAGTTGTCAAATGTAGCATATGTTAACTTTTTAAGTACATGTTCTCAGGAAACTACAGATTTTAGCTTTGATTATAGGTCAAGTCCCAACCAGATAATAAAGCTGTTTGGAATTTCACCATTTCCAATCAGACAATCAGGTCTGTTTGTGTGCACCACTGGGAATCGCCAGCTGCATCCCACCTGGATGCATGAAACATGACCACACCCACCTGCCCCAGGGACAATGTTGACCACTCCAGGAGGGAACCCGGCCTTCACCACCAGCTCTGCAAACTTCAATGCTGTCAGAGGTGTCACCTGCAAGTCAAACAATACTTCGATATATTTGGATGACACACCTGTGAAGTCCATGTCAGTATCTCATGTTCGTCATGACAATGGCCATATTAATGATACTCACCTGTGCAGCCAAATTAATTATTCTCACCTGTGCAGCCAAATTAATGATACTCACCTGAGTGGCAAACCTAATGACATTTACCTGTGCCGAATAATGAATGACAAATACCTATGCAGAAAACCTAATGAAGCTCACAACTTGGGCAGGTGCAGATAGTGGTATGCACCTGGCAGTGTAGCAACTGAAGCTCACCTGGAAGTATATCTCATGGTACTCACCTAGCACTGATTAACTGAAGCTCACCTAGAGGTGTATCTAACGGTACACACCTTGCATTGATCGGCTGAACCTCACCTGGATGTATCTAATGAAGTGCACCTTGATTCAGGTATCCCCCTGACATTTATCTGTTGACACCTGACATTGATAACCAGGTGTGTGTCTAATTGAGATCAGCAGACATGTAGCTCACCTGGGCAGGTTTCAGCACAACTGTGTTCCCTGCAGCCAGACAAGCAGCCATCTTCCATGCCAGCATCATTAGGGGGTAGTTCCACGGCACCACAATACCACACACACTGTACACAAAGTCAGACCAGGAGTGAGTGAGTGGGTAAGTGAGTGGGTGAGTGAGGTTTTAAAAACATAAGAGAGAGACACCAAGCATGGGTTTCTACCTATAACAACCAGAGGGAAACACTCCTTGGTCCAAAGTGTGACATAAAATCATCACCAGGCATGGCTGTGGTGACATCAGCAAGGTGAAATGAAATGGGTGTTAAAATAATGTTTAAAGATTCTTGCACATATATTGTGACATACACGAATGCCACTTTCATAATACTTGTCCAGTGAGATACGTTGATGAAGTTGAACATGGATACCCTCCACAACTAACACTTGTCAGTCTATCTACTAGTGTTGGGAACTGGTTGAAATCTCACAATTGATGATTGGTTCGATACCAACGACCAATCATCGAAAAAAATTGGTTAGCGTCATTATTTACATTTTCCTATTCAGGTTGTAGTTGCAGATAAGTATAAAGAAAAATCATTTGGTTCTCTGTTGTTTTTTTGTTTTATTTAGAAACTGCTCAAATTACATTTGCAAATTTCACATCCAGTGGAAAAGGATTCAGTTCCAGTGAAACATAAACTTCCCAGATTCTTCAAGAAATATTCAGTCATGACTTTTCAGAAAGTGAAGCGAGTTTTCTAAGAATTAAACACGTTTTCAGGCCCTGACAACGTCCTAGATATGTTCCATCATCAAGTATTTCAAACTCTAATACAGCGGTTCCAAAATCGTTTGTGTTCGATTATGAGAAAATGTGATCGATTGCTTGGTCATTTGGCCACTGCGACCAATCTTCAATTATTTCAATTAAACGGAACACCACTACTATCTACTCAGAGTTACAGAATAGAATTTATAATAAGACAGTAAAAACTTCCTTAACTTCAGTAATCTAATCTTAACCCAGCTAAATAACCATGGTCATTGAGCATTTACTTTAAGAAATGACTTAGTACTGTTAAAGTATTTATTGCTGATATGGCTGGTATTAATGGAGGTGTATACTTTAAAAAGTGTAAGCACAGCAAAGCATGCACTGGGCGTTTTACATTCATCACTCCATAAGCCCCAACAATGATGACCTTAACAAACTACATATATATTCAGTAACACACAAAAAATACTCAACCTAACACACAAAATACTCAACCTAACACACAAGATACTCAACCATACAAAATCAGAGTCATCATTCAACATAACGAGGAATCAGATGTCCGGTAATGGACTGAAATATAATTCAGATGCCTAAAAGACAGCTCGTTTTCTCAATCTCACACAAGATCATATGCAGTTATATTTCTAGTGATGTACATGACCAACTCACCCGATCGGCTCCCTCTTGGTGTAGGTAAGGTTCTTGCTGGGTCGGGCGTGGTTGATGGGGATCGTGAGGCCCTGGGGGATACAACACAACATACGTCAGTCAGGAGACAAATCACCAGCAGGCAGTGGTCCTGACCAACAGCCCCATTTAGTCATCTTTCACAACAAGCTAAACACATGAAGATCCGGGTTAGCATTGATCTTCAGTAACCCATGCTTGTCGTAAGAATCGACTAACAGGATCGGGATCGGATAGTCAGGCTTGTTGACTTTGTTGATACATGTCATCGGTTCCCAGTTGCGTAGATCGGTGCCCATGCTGTTGATCACTGGATTGCCTGGTCCAGAATCATTTATTTGTGATTTGAACATAGTTGCCCTATTAACAAGTTCTTATTTGAGAGTTACTGCTCTGTTCAAACATTCTTGTTGTTATGACTTAAGCAAATCATACATGTCAGTGAGATTGTTCTGGTAATAATAATAATAATACAACTAATAACACCTGTTCCAATGACAAGAAACATTACCATTAACCATTACTGATGCCTGCCAAGTGTTCCAGGTTTCAGGGTGTATATAATATGACTTGTCTCATGAAAGGGTCCAACTCTGATCAATCTGGCATCAGAGCTGTTGAACATCTTGTCATGACTGTCCCGATAAATAGTTGACACGTAACACAGATCACGAACAAAGATATTCATATTTGATTTTACTCAGCTTAATTTGGCTAAAATGAAGATGGAGTGGACTTAAGGATTTCAGTTTAAAATTCATTCTTTATAATTTCACAAGTCATATCTGTCTTCACTGATACTATATCCTTCAAAATGTATTCAGCAGAGGAATGAGGGCACCCTTCCAGAAAGCAATCTTAGTACTGGTGAGTGAGTTTAGTTCAACGCCACTTTTAGCAATGTTCCATCAATATCACAGCCCAGAAATGGGCTTCACACATTGTACCCATGTGGGGAATCAAACCCAGGTGTTTGGTGTGATGAGCAAATGCTTTAATCACTAGGCTACCCCACCACCCCCAATCTTAGTGATCGATAGAAGTCTGTGTTAAAGTATGGTAACAACCAGTGTCTTAGCACAACCATCACTGAGAGAAACGGGTTCAGCAAGCAGATTCTGGCAAAGCAAGAAGTATATTCCCAACCTACTTCACTATCACACAATCCAGCTCTCACATGATTCTGAATTAATGCTCACTCCTCAACATCTGCGGATTTACCTGAATCTTGTCGCACCATCCAGCAAAGTAGCGGAATGTCTGTATGGACATGCCCACGTGGGTCTTCAGTGCCAGCGTGTACACGGCGCCAGAGTCTATACTCTCGATAGTCGCCAGCTCCTCCTCGTGCTGTTCCATCAAGTCAGCCAGTCTGAAACAAGGGGCACATCCGTGATCACGCACAGCAACGAACGGTAGTTCACCACAGCGTCATCATCAAGATCCGGATTAGAATTCGTCTTCAACAACCCATGCTTGACTTCTAACGGGATCGGGGGTTCAGATTCGCTGACTTATTTGATGCATGTCACTGCATAACATTTGCGTTGATCAGTGCTCAGGATGTCCTGTAGCTGGACAATGGCTGAATGTTAAACAACAAAACTGATTATTATGTAAGCAGATTTTTCCGGCTACCTGATTGGTCTAGAGGCAGTCACGTGACCGTCAACAGAAAAGCATATTGACTCAAACCCAGGTCCGACCAAAAGTCTTATTGACTTGAGTTACTAAAAATAGATTTTGACGTCAAGCTATGACATCATTCTATTGTCATGATCACAGTATTGTTGACATAACGTTATTGGTTTGTAGCGAAAATAAATTTACTTTTCTTGACTAAATGGACATGTTTTGGCTTTTAGAAGCTTTTTTTTTTGGTAGTTACATAAAAAAACAATTATGGACTGGTGAATTTGGTCAATACCTGTTTTTATGGACCCGCGAAAAGCAAAATTGACCAAGGATGAAGTCCGAGGTCAATATTGCTTTTCGCGGGTCCATAAAAACAGGTATTGACCATATGAACCATTCTATAATTGTATAATATCACAATGCTCTGATGGTATCAACTGATAGTTCACTGGCTTTTCAGTGAAGGATGTCAGAAGTCAACAATACTAGAGTAACGTGAAGAAGTCAGCCTTAGTATAGTAGCAAGGTTACGTTTGTGACGTCATCATGTTCTTGACCTCACAGTTAGAAACAATAGTGGTGGACGTGTATGCATTATGGTTTCAGTGCACAAATACCGTACATACTGAGGTACATTGAGAAGGTTACAAAATTATACTCTTGAATTTAGCTTAGGTTAAAACAGTTTTTTTGTGAGGTGATGAGGTGAGGTGAAATTGGGTTTTACGTCGTACTTCTGAATATTTCACTCATATGACGGCGATGCAAGGCGGTGTATGGTAGCAGTGGCTATGTATAGCCCAGACTGAAGCTGGTTTTATAGTGCTAGCTCACTGAGATACCAAAGTGAAGCATGAATACCCCACTCAGACACATTATATAACGACCAGTCCTTGTTGTACCCGTTAATGCCGGAAGCACCAGACAGAGACCAACAAGTGCCATAAGACCGGGGATCGAACCAGCGACCTTCCGCTCTCCGGGCGGATGCTCTAACCACTACACCACAGAGGCGGTCTAGTTTTTTTGTAATCAAAGAGGCTGATATAGGTGGAGCAGTGGTTATTATGGATTCCGAATTCTATGTAACCAAAGTGAATGAATTATTATATAACGAGGAATTCTATCTGGAAACTGACAACCAGGAAGATGTTGTGAAAAAAATAAAAAAGCTTGGAAAACAATATTTTGATGAGCTCCACGACAAGGAACAAGATTATTTATTAAATTACAATCCTCCGACTGAGTCAAGAATCAGACTGTATCACTGTTGTGTCCCAAGTTGAAACTCACAGGTCAACCCTGTCTTCACTACATATACATGTCACTTAAAGATCAGCAACTGACCTGTACATGAGAGTCCCACGGTCCCGGGCATTCATCCTTCCCCAGGGTCCCTCCTCAAACGCTTCCTGGAGCAGAGATTATCCATTAGAGTCAGCCATATTAAATGATATACTGACATTGCAAAAAACATGCACCTTATTTTACATTGGATACATTGATCCTTCTTTCAAAGAAGGAAACTGTCTTCTACCAAAAATTTGAACAATCTGTAACTCAAATATAGCTGATTATTCTTAAAGTCATAATTAAGGACACAAGTTCGCAATATACTATTTTCTCCAACACACACCTGTTTTATGATTGAAACTACATACATATGTTCAAACACAAGTGTGTGTGTGTGTGTGTGTGTGTGTGTGTGAGTGAGTGAGTGAGTGAGTGAGTGAGTGAGTGAGTGAGTGAGAGAGAGAGAGAGAGAGAGAGAATTACAATCTTCATTAATTATTGTCATCTTCACATGATTCTAATTATTCTATGAAAACCTGTTTCTTTCTGAAACATGATTTGAAAATGTCCTGTACCCTGTCTGTTTCACATTCAATGTCCTGCAGTACATATTATCTGCCTGATGTTCTGTTCTATATCCCTGCATGCAATATTCTATGCTCTACGTTCAAGACTCACCTTCAATGTCCTATGCTCAACATTCTATGCCTTATGGTCTGTTCCATGTCCTACATTCAATATCCTATGCTCAATGCTCAATATTCTATGCTCAATATTCTATGCTCAATATTCTATGTTCAATATTCACATTCTATGCTCAATATTCTATGCCTTTCGCTCTGTTCCATGTCCTGCATTCAATATCCTATGCTCTATGCTCAATATTCTATGCTCTGTTCCATGTCCTGCATTCAATATCCTATGCTCTATGCTCAATATTCTGTGCTCTATGCTCAATATTCTGTGCTCTATGCTCAATATTCTATGCTCTGTTCCATGTCCTACATTCAATATCCTATGCTCAATATTCCATGTCTTACGCTCTCTATTCCATGTCCCTACATTCAACAGATTATGCTCTATGCTCAACATTCTATGCTCTATGCTCAACATTCTACGCTCTATGCTCAACATTCTATGCCTCACACTCTGTGCCCTACTCTCTATGTCCTATACCCTATGCTCTGTGCAATGCCTCACCTTTGCTGCTTCCACAGCTCTGTTGACATCTTCCTTGGTGGATAGCGACACATCACAGATTTCCTGAAATTAGTACAAGTGACAACATACAGGCAAGACTCACACAACAACCTCAACATGATTGGTCAATCCGAGAAAATCTTCAGTTCTGACATCCCCCTTGCAAAACAGCCTCAAACTAAACCACACATTCTGGGAAATACAGCAAGTAGCATGTCTGTCTGTGGTCAATCTAATTGTCTTCAACTAAATAAACTCGAGGTCTACCGAACTTCATGTAACAGGGTCTGCTGTGCACGGTTCTTCACCTGACCTGCCATAATCATGTATGTCATCTGTTTACCCATGACATTGATACCCACGCCCGCGAACGAGGCGAATCAGCAAAGACTGTGTACTCACAGACTCATCAGCTGGGTTGATGGACTTGTAGGTCTTGCCATCAGAAGAGTCGAGGAACTCGTTGTCTATAAACACCTGGTGCGGCATGCTTATGTCCATGTTGTTGATGTGCTTCTCAACCTGAAGGGAAACAGCAGCTTGAAAAACACTTGAATAAAGGCAAAAACAAGAAAAAAAGACATTTGTTTTTATTCTATTTCAGATAACAACAGTTGTTTAACACTGATGGCCTCAAACAGAGGAAACACGATGACTTACTGGATCCATCAGTTTGTCAGGAGTGGACGGCACTGGTAGGCAATATTTTAGTTACATCTAGGTCACCTGTCAATAATCAAGTCTGGACCAGACAAACCTGTGATTGATATGATGAGCAAAACACCAAGACACTGCCATATCAATCATTGGATTTAGTACAGAGCCCCGTTTCACAAAGCTCTCGTGAGCCTAAGATCTCGTAACTTTCCTCATAGCATTCCTACCTTGTATACTGTAACATTGACTTACGATAGTCTTAGTACTATGTGAGCTTTGTGAAACAGGGCCCTGGTTGATGGGGACATTTCTAATCCAGAATCCCAATGAGATCAAAGAATAAGGCAATGTCACTTACTGCATCGAAGGTGAAGGGTTCCTTGTCCTCTATGCCTCGTCCTCGCTTGATGACGCAGGTGGTGAAGTCGTCGAACACGGTGTTCATGTAGACGTCCTCGGGCTGGAGACGGATGTCATTACACTTTTCTCTCACCTCCTCCACTAGCCTGCATTATGTTAGTGAGTGAGTGATAAACAAGATTTGAACCCATGGCAACTATTTTATGCCTGAGGACTGAAACTTGGCCACCTGTGCCCCATGATACATCACATGACCTATCATGTTTAAAGAACCACTAAACTTTGTTTTTTGTTACTCTTTTAACCATTACATATGAAAGATTTGTGGTTAGTCTTATGCGGAACACAAAATTTATTCTTTAAAAACTTGTGGTTAATTAATACCGAGCGATTAAAAGTGGCCAAAAAGTCGCCTGCTTCCCTCTCGCCCGCCAACGAAACCACAGACAGGTTACGTAACTCTGTCGCCAGAGCACTGCAGTGGCGTCATATGAGGAACGATTTTCAGTTAGTTGTATAGAAAGTGTGTAGCACAGCTCATCATTTTGTTGATTTTCGACATCAATCCGACATGCGAATCGTTGCTTTGTCGTCAATTGCTCCTAGGGGTCGGGTGATGGTGTCACCATGCACAGATTTCCACAGGACCCGCAGTTAAGTGCTAAATGGGTTATGTTTGTGAGTCTTGGCGGCGTTGTGGAAGCCTGAAGCGATATCTTACTTGTGTTCAGATCTTCCACGGAAGTTAAAGAATCAAAACTACTTACTAGTGATAGTAAAATATGTATATGATTGATGACCATAAAGATTTTCCATAACACAACTTGTAACATAACGATTTCTTCCTCGGGAAGTGAGGTTGTGGTCAAGTAACAATAATATTGTAAGTAGTATTATATTGACATATCACCTTCGCTGCCAGGAGAGAAATTGTTATGTTATCGCAGCTATGTCATGCAAAATCCTATTGGCCATCAATAAAATACATATTTTACTACTAGTAGAAAGTAGTTTTGATTTTGTAACTTCGGTGAAAACAAACCTAAATAGCATTTATCCACAGACTGGCGGATGTTCTCGACAGGTATGCATATTTTTGAAAATCGTAAAGTCTGTTAGAATTAATGAGATTATAGTTTGTTTTCATCAAGGTTAACAAATCAAAACTTCTTTCTACACCGTTAGTTAAATATGTATTGGAATCATAACCAAAAGGATTTTGCATGACACAACTTATAACATAACGATTTCTTCCACGGAGGCGAGGTGGGGGTCGAAGTCACAATACTGCGCGATACTTTTCTTGCTACATTCACATGGTTAATGTGACTCACCAGTATGTAGATACTAGTCAGTAATGCGTCTTTATATTTGGTCTTATAATCCTAATTAGTTTATTATCATACTTTTATGCATTTTGAAACTAAATAAAAGCTGACGATCTGCTGATACTTATAGTGAATTTATAACAGAACTGTAATATCTAGACATTTTATAGTTTGCCAATGTGAATCATAATTGCACACCCACCCTAAGCATGTTATGTTGTCTGTCTCATTACACTTCACGGCTGAAAACAATGATTCTGTTGAATGCTACTTAACAAATGAATAAAAACAAAATGCAAATATTAAAATTAAAACAGATTAAAGTTATAGGAACAATATCAGGCCATTACCTTGTTTGAGGAATGTATCCATCAATATCCACAAAACTGTTCCAAATGATGTGTCTTTTAACAGTTTAATATACTGAAAAAGTGATAAATCTTTTCAGGTATTGGTGTATAGTCTCATTGGTCACCCAAGATAGCACACCTGGCAACTAATTGCATAATGTCCGCCTTCATTAAAAACAGTAATTTAGTTAGCCAATAATGGGCAATCAATCAATGTATTGCCGGTTAATCCTTTGAAAGAAGGTCGTTGTTTTACTAGAACACCGACACGGCAGAGTGTATTCAGTATAGATTAGTAAGTCTACATACATAAACACTACCTTTTCACAAATCCGCTGTGTAAGATAAAAGTAATTAATCAATCAGCGTGTTATCGGTTAATCCTTTGATCGATGTTTATAATGTTGAATATTTACTCCAGACACAAGAAATGCCAAATGGGAACCTTTGTCGGGTAATCTTAGTGTGTTACCACTAATTATACCTGTTATAAATTCATTAACTGACCATCAAGTGAATGATGACAAATAACATGTGTAGGTTTATACCACCTAACACGGGTTACAACAAAGGGTATTAATTGCTGTATTGCATGTGAAAACTTATGGGCCTATTAACTGTTTTGAGAATACAAACAGATTTTTACATGACATGATTAAATATCGAGGTAAAAACACAGAAATGGGATCAATTTAGATCAGTCATTATACAAATAGAGCCTAACGACACCAATCAATTGTGACAGAAGCGTCTATGAAAACAAGTTGTAACTCGAAACTAGGCAAAGCAGGAGACAAAATTAAATGCCAGTAGATTGTGAGAACATATAGCTTTCATTTTCCACAACAATTGTCACGATTTCAGGTTTATACAAGCCTGTAAACAAGATAATTTACCCCCTAAAATGTAGATGAATTCTGCATCGGCCCTCAAAGCTATTCCTCATATGACGTCACAGAGTCGCGCCGCTCTGATTGGTTGAAATTTCGTTCGCGGGTGAGAATTTAGCACTGTTGTCAAAAAGGTCGATTTAAGTCAATTAAAGGTCGAAATGAGTAGTTTTAATGACGGGGTTTCATTTATAACGATGCCAGTTAGTGATTTATGTATTTTTAACCCCTAGGGTTTATGTGACCTTTAAGTCAATAGGTCTGATATATATGATTTACACCTCACTGTACTTGACACATAACTCCATTGGCTGTGTGTATACACACACATCACATAACAGCCAAAAGATCATTGTTAGGATGTAAAAGATTTACAACTGACTAAAAATGTCTATGACGGGAGGAAGATACATTGTTTTATTCTATTTCAGATTACAACAGTTGTTTAACAGTAATGGCCTCAAACAGAGGGAAACACGCATGACTTACTGGATCCATCAGTTTGTCAGGAGCGGATGCCACTGGTAGGCAATATTCTAGTTACATCTAGGTCACCAGTGAATAATTAAGTCTGGACCAGACAAACCTGTGATTGATATGATGAGCAACACACCAAGACACTGCCATATCAATCATTTGATTTAGTACAGAGCCCCGCTTCACAAAGCTCTGGAGCCTAAGATAGCATTCCTCATAGCATTCCTACCTTGTATACTGTAACATTGACTTACAATAGTCTTAACACTATGTGAGCTTTGTGAAACAGGGCCCTGGTTGATGGGGACATTTCTAATCCAGAATCCCAATGAGATCAAAGAATCAGGCAATGTCACTTACTGCATCGAAGGTGAAGGGTTCCTTGTCCTCTATGCCTCGTCCTCGCTTGATGACGCAGGTGGTGAAGTCGTCGAACACGGTGTTCATGTAGACGTCCTCGGGCTGGAGACGGATGTCATTACACTTTTCTCTCACCTCCTCCACTAGCCTGCATTATGTTAGTGAGTGAGTGATAAACAAGATTTGAACCCATGGCGACTATTTTATGCCTGAGGACTGAAACTTGGCCACCTGTGCCCCATGACATTACATCACATGACCTATCATGTTTAAGTCAATAGGTCTGATATATATGATTTACACCTCACTGTACTTGACACATAACTCCATTGGCTGTGTGTATACGCACACATCACATAACAGCCAAAAGATCATTGTTAGGATGTAAAAAGATTTACAACTGACTAAAAATGTCTATGACGGGGAAGATACATTATTTTAATCACTTTATTTCTTTTTGATCTGGGTACAACATTTCATACAGGTTTAACAGCCTGGGAAGTACATAGGTAAGGGCAATAACTCTGTGAGATATTAATTCTTGTGGGCAGTATTTAAACACATTTATCATTCATTAAGGGATTCCAAATGTCATCTACAGTGATTTCCAAAGAAATATGCAACATGTGTAACAAAACAATTAAACAAGGGCCATAACTGTATATTATCAATTCTCAAGGCTGATTTGTAAATGTTATCATTTTAGATGAGAGGGAGCGTATATTGATTAAAATGATTATTTCTCCATCAAAACAAAATTTAAAAATTATGATGTCTATATGATTCATTTAATTAATTAATTATTTCTAGATTTTTAAAAACTGCTTCATAAAAACATTACATCTCACCTGACAACATCCATGGATCCTGCTCCAGACTTGAAGAAATCTGTCTGGTCCTCTATGTCGATGTTCAAGATGCCATTCCACACGTCCTACACAAGACAGCTTAGAGATAATATTGTACATATCATCGCTTACTTTCAGTTTGCTAGACCAGACAAACCAGTGATTAATATTAGCAGCCACAGTATCATCAGAACACACAACTGATGACAATAACCATCTGAGCATCGAAAACACTGCACTTAGATTTGATTTGTGTCTTCTTTCATATAAATTGCAACCTCTGTAATATTCATGTTTATTTTGAAATTCAGTATGTATGCATAGACTTTATATTCAAGGGAGACAACTCACCTTCAGGGCTGTGACCATGTTTATCTCTTCCTGAGTGAGCTCCAGTTTTTCCGTAGACTTGTCATCCTTGCCAAACTTGGAGGCGGGATCATCTTGCCACTTTCCAGCTGCACCTGACTCACATTCACCTGCAACACAAACGAAGAAAGTCACGACAAATCCTCACATGCATCAGTGTTCTGCTAAGTCATGAGCAGCAGACAACCAAGAATTAAGAACAAACATTCAAGAAATCATTTGTGTTTTGACAGGGTTTCAAGTGAATCAGATATGGTGTACATGGCTATATTTTTATCCAAAATACATAGTAACAATCATTCCCAATTCGACATTTTGAATTAGGAAGTTCTAGGTCCTACAAACACATCAAACTGCTTATTGTTTCATCGTGTGCTTCAATGTTCACGACTTCACATGCGGTATTGTTTCAGACACTACTCAAAAAGAAAAGTTGGGTAACACCAGATTCTTTCATATTACAACACAGTTTCGACACTATAGTAAACTTTAAAAACTTCTTTTGAGTGGACAAACCGAAACATGGATTCTAACAGATTTATTTCAGTAACCTTGCTTGAATGATATCACTGACATTCACACCACTTTCTTACAATGAGAAACAAAATAATGATGTTCACACTGACCATTTTCCCATCATTTCCGAAGAAGACCATTCCCTTCTTGTGTACTATGGCCGGCTTGCTGGCACCAGGTATATCCACAGTTGTCCCCCTTGGCTCAATCTTCTTCCAGAGGCGAGATCCGTATAGGGTCACTTTCTGCACAGAAAACAACCATCAGCTAACCAGACGACTTACTTCCAGAACATTACAAACATTCATGGTATATCTTTACAGGAACATTTGTTTTCAGTATCGAGGTGTGAAAACTTAAACCATATCATCCAAGACAGAAGACTAAAAGCTTCAGATCCTACAATTCTGACTGGACAGTCGAAATTTGTTGAAACAATTGTCAGACCTTGACAAAGATGTTTTTATTCAGTATACTGGACAAAAAAAGGAAGGTACCTCGCCATTGATGGTGGTCCAGGCACCAGGGACCTTGTCGTTGCCACGGATGTAGTTGTGTAGAGCTGACGAGGCTGGTCCATGTTGATCTACAACGGAACATTATGCATAAATACTACAAATCATGTGCCAGGAACCCATGTTTCCTTAAGCAAGAGGTTATGTTCTGAATTAGGAATCAGGGAAAGTGTACCCGGTAGGAGGAGATGGTGAGTTGGTGAGTGAGTTTAGTTTTACAACTCACTCAGCAATATTCCAACTATATGGCGACTGTCTGTAATTAATCAAGTCTAGACCAGACAATCCAGTGAACATCAATCTACGCAATTGGGATATGATGACATGTGTCAACGAAGTCAGTGAGCCTGACCACCCGATCCCGTTAGTTGCCTTTTACGACAAGCATGGGTTACTGAAACCAATTCTAACCTGGGTCCTCACGGGTGAGGATCAGGTGGTAATGTTGATCTTCTAATGTCCTATAAGGCAGCTTGTGTGCATACTTCCCAGGGAGGAGTGAAATACCAGTGTATACTGATCCACTGGCCAGGGTAATGATATTGCACTATTTAGGACATTGATTAGCTATATTAGAAATATCCACATTAGATTTCTACCTGCACTTTGTCTTTCTTGATCAGAGGGTCATAGGTGGCGCCCTCTTCTGGCTGAGTTATTCTTGGTGCCTTCCCGTCATTAATCAGTTGAACAGCTTTACCCTGATTTCACACAAAAATATTAAAACTTCAGCTTAATAAATCCATTATCACACATATATAATTTAACAAAATGACATGACAGGTACAAATAATTGCTGGAAACCTGCTGATGCTGCTAAACATAAATCACTCATTTAATTAAAATATCAACATATGACAACACCCCACCCTTGACCCCAACATCACAGCCAGCATGACCTTTAACCCACCACCACTATTGGTTACAACCTTCATCGTTCACTCCCATGGCCTTGACCCCAATATCACAGCCATGACCTTTACCCCACCATCACTGTCGGTTGCAACCTTGATCTTTCACCCACCATGGCCTTGACCCCAATATCACAGCCATGGCCTTGACCCCAATATCAAAGCCATGACCTTGACCCCAATATCACAGCCATGACCTTTACCCCACCATCACTGTCGGTTACAATCTTGATCTTTCACCCACCATGGCCTTGACCCCAATATCACAGCCATGACCTCTACCCCACCATCACTGTCGGTTACAATCTTGATCTTTCACCCACCATGACCCCTTATCACCCATGACCTTATCCATCACTGACCGGTTACCCATTTATCATCTTTCGGTTACCAACCTTGACCCCAATATCTTTTGCCCACCATGGCAGTTTGACCCTAATATCACAGCCATGACAATATCACACCCTGACCACCCATTTATCACTGTCGGTTACAACCTTGATCTTTCACCCACCATGGCCTTGACCCCAATATCACAGCCCTGACCTTTACCCCACCATCACTATCGGTTACCACCTTGATCTTTCACCCACCATGGCCTTGACCCCAATATCACAGCCATGACCTTTACCCCACCATCACTATCAGTTACAACCTTGATCTTTCACCCACCATGCCCTTGACCCCCTCTGGGAAGAGGAAGCGGTTGTAGATTGAGTCAATGGTGTCATTCTCCTCCACATATGTCTGTTTCTGTAGCAGGATTGGTCCAGTGTCAAGGCCATCATCTGCCCAGAAGACGGTAAACCCAGCCCGCTTGTCACCAGACATCAGGGTCCTTTAAATTATACAATAGAAAATCATAAATATGATAAAAATCTTCCTGCTGTCAAAAATAGTAAAACATGGATATTTGTCTAATTTGTGTGGTTTGTTTTGTTTGTTATTTGTGTGCCACACTCAGCAAATATTCCATCTATATAGTGGCATGTGTTGTGAAGGCTATTTTCAGCAATGTTCAAGTCACTTGACAGGAGTCTGTAAATAAGGGAGTCTGGACCAGACAATCCAGTGATTGATACTGTGAGCAATGTTCCATCTGTCAGGGTCCAGTGACACACAACCATGTCACAGAGTCACCATTTTGTCACCTGGGTGACCAGTTTAGGTTGCTAGGGAACAACAGTGAGTAAGAGAATTCACATTTAATCAGTTTTTGTTTTTTGCAATATTCCAGCAATATCATGGCAGGGGACACCAGAAATGGATTCACACATTGCACCCATATGGGGAATCAAACCTGGTCTTCAGCATGATGAGCGAATGCTTTAACCACTAGGCTACCCCATTGGCCCTCTGGGGAACAAGGAAATGCCCCGAGCCCCTTACCCACAGAGGTGCTTATATTGACCAACACTTGACCCACCAGTTGATGGCTGAGGCTCCTCGATGCAATGGAAGAATGGAAGGATGGTAGATGATGGACTGGTTCTTTGGGAATGTGATCACGTCCATGGGGATGAACTGTGAGCAGAACGGCAGAACATTGAGCTCTGCCCACGGACTTGTACTCTTCCAGAACCTCTGGGATTGCCTTCTTCTTCAGCTGCCAGCGCTTGTACTTGAAGACAGGGATCCCATCCTTCTCTGCCGCCAAGGCTGTACACATTGAAACATTCTATGCTGTAGTGGGTATATCACAACCATCTGTTCTACCTGACTGTGTTATAGAACAATATTGTCCAAAAGAATTATCACTGGCAAACAAGGATAAGTTTGAGTGTCACCCACACACTTGCCATTGTTAGTGAAGGTTGTCCGCAATCAAGTGTAGTGTGACTTGCTACACCTACATGAGAGTCTTATGAGCAAGGCGTGTGCAGCTACGAGCAGAATCAATTTTATCGTCATGCAATGCACTTGCACTAGCCTACATCTGCTCTACCTTCCACAAACCAAAATGGTTTGCTCATTGTCCATGCACCGCCTACTTCTCGTAAACGCGTTCTCTGCACCGGTCCAACTTATCCTTGTTTGCCAGTAGATTGTCATACAATTTCTTCAAAAATATAAGGCATTATCTTGTATATGGGGCATTTCAGCAATAATTTAAAAATAGCCATTCATACTGCAACTATGTGAAGGTGCTTACAAACAATAGAATTTTTTAGTTGGAAGGTGGGCAGGGCCAACAATCTAAGAATTATAAGGTATAGGAGGTATAATATGAAGGCAGATAATTTGTCAGCTGTCCCATGTTTAGTCACTATTCCATTGACATGAACTAACAGCATAACCCCTGACTGAATGAACTGGGACTGTGTGGATCCAACCTTCTCTTGGGATATAAACTGACAAGGAGAGTTTGGCTCAACCACTTGTCCATGAGTCTGAAATTACCAGCAGCATCTGGCTCCACCAGTTATCCCTAAAATCTTTACCTACTCGGGTAGGCTCCACCCCTTGTCCCTCAATCTGAACCTTCCAGATGTGTCTAGCTCCATTCCAATCTGAACCTACCAAAAGTGTCTAGTTCCACCCTTTGTTCAGGAATCTGAACCTACCAGTAAACTCGAACTCCACCCTTTGTCCCTCAATCGGAACCTACTGTGAACGTTTTAACCTACCATGAGAGTCTCAACCTACCATGAGGGTCTCAACCTACCATGATGAGGGTCTCAACCTACCATGAGGGTCTCAACCTACCATGAGGGTCTCAACCTACCATGAGGGTCTCAACCTACCATGAGGGTCTCAACCTACCAAGAGGGTCTGCCTTCCCATTGACGTCTGGGACAGTGAAGACACCCACTACATGGTGGCCATCTTTCTGTAACAGTCTAAAGACCTCCGCCCCGAACAGGGACTGACCAATCACAGCAATCTTCATCCTGCTAAACACGTGCTGAAACATACAATGAAACACACTCAACTCCTGGCCGACGATGTAGGTGAAGAACGCAATGCAATACATAATTTAACACTAAGTTTGCCACTTATCATGCTTATATGACAATGTCCCCCGCCGCTAAAGAAGAATGAAATATTTATAACATATTTACTACTTTTTATTTTCTGGTCACATACAAGATGAATGAAATGACTGGTGTCTGATATTCACCCAATGTAGGCTGTCGAGAAAACTGAAGACATTGGGTGCAATGTTTATGAGATATCGTGTTTACACAAGTTTGAGAAGTGTCATGGCGACCTTGAAGATAAGGTCAAGGTCACCTAAATTGATCGGGATCTGCGTAATCCCCCAATGTGAGGGAGTGAGTGAGTTTAGTTTTACGCCACTTTTAGCAATATTCCAGCAATATCACGGCGGCTGGTGTCTGCGTAATCCCCCAATGTAGGCTGTCACCACATTTGAAGACATTGAGTACAACAGTTCATGAGATATTGTGTTAACAAGAATCAGGACGTATGTATATGTACGGACGAACGGACGAAGAGTCACCAATTACAAAGCACCTCATGAGGTAAGGAATGACATACTATTTCATCTCCTGAACCTAATTAATTCAGAGGTACAGATAAGCTGCGTATCTGCGTAAATTACGCAAATATTAAGTCTATTGAGTACAAGTACACTTGAACTTTTGTAAATACTCAATAAATTTGATCTTACATGCGTACACACAAAAATGTGATAGAGATTACCGAGGACAGGTCAAATAACTGAGGTATATTGAAAGATTCTATTTCCGCACATGAACTTGGCAACTTGCAGTCTTTCTTATTGTTTCTCATATTACAGATCAAATACAAATACAAACCTGTAAACCAACATTTAAACTTTATTATATTTTTACAATAAATGAAAAATGGCAAAATACCCAATTGAGTTTGAGTGGGGTGTGCACAATGTATTTGGTTACTCAAAGGAAAATTAGGATACCCAATTGAGATTAACACAAGCGAGTACATAACTCAATGACCCAAAAAGTTATCTGTAGCTCTGTAATTAGTTATTTTTACGTGTCATCTTTAGCACAGATGACTGTGACCAGAAAAACACAACAACTTACAAGCTGGTGATACATTCAACATAAACACAAGAGGATGTCAAGATCTTCGTGGAGGTTTTACAAGAGGTGAGGTGAGGTGAGGTGAGGTGAGGTGAGGTGAAATTGGGTTTAACGTCATGCTTGAGAATATTTCGCTCATATGACGACGTGCATGCGTGTGTATGTGTATGTGCGGCTGCTTGTACTAGCCCAGACTGAAGCTGGTTTTATAGTGCTAGCCCACTGAGATACCATACCGCAGTGAAGCATGAATACCCCACTCAGACACATTATACTGAGTACCATATTTTAACGTCTTTTGGCGAAAGCCAGGCGGTCTGGGATCGAACTTTTGGCATGATGCGGTCGACCTTCCGCTCTCCGGGCGGACGCTCTAACCACTACACCACGGAGGCGGTCTGATGACCTTGAAGTAGGACTAGCAACAGGCAAACTGTAATCGGAGCAAGTGTAATACAAGTGTTCAAAAGCTCATTTTTCTGCTTACTCTTAATCTTAGTTTTTTTTATTTAGATAAATCAAATGGTTAGTCAATATCCAAATCAAACCAAACAAATTATTAATAGACCCGTATAGAGAAAGAGCACCACATATTAAAACATGGTAATTCTTTATTAGACCTGGATTCTGGGCTAGAATATGTCCCCAGAATCTTAATTTGTCATATGACAAGGCACAGTCACATTGATTGCATGTCACCATGCCCTAATAGCAAGGATATTACTCTGATATACATCACTGGATTGTCTGGTCTAGACTTGACTGGTTAAAAGCAGCTGTAATTCATCCAAATTGAATATTGAAAAGTGATTTGGGTTTTACCCCAATTTTAGCAAATTTCCATCAATATCACAGCAGAGGACACCAGAAATGGGCTTCACAAATTGTACCCATGTGGGAAATCGAACCCAGACTTGGCGAGCTGACACTGTAACCACTAAGCTACCCCACCACCCCTCAGTAGGTACCTGATGTAGAGCTGGTACAAGGTATGATGCACAGTTACACAACTACACAGACCTGATGAGTGCCCTACATTTTCAGCATCTGTTGCTTGTTGAGTAATATGTCAGGTCAAGGTAACATTGTATTTTGAAAGACAAATTTCAACATTTAGAAACCTGAATCACTGCTGTTGAAATAAGCAATGAAAACCCAAAATGAATTTTCATAAGCTTCAAGGTTGCCTATTGTCATCACAGATAATGTACTTATATCAGTCAGATTAAAATAGAATTATTGCTGTTGACCTGGTCCCTCCCAGCCAGCCACTACCTAATTCCATGTTCGTCAGGAGATAAAGTTGTTTTGTCCCAAAGCTGGGTCTCCTCTAAACCCACTTGTTGTTCCACAAGCATCGGCCTTGATTACAGGGACAGTGTCAAGCGTTCTCCATCAACATTCTAGAGTCATGTGATGGTGTGATGTTATGGTGTGCTTATCTTCAGATTATTTTGTATTTTCAGAACTAGGTTATTTTTAGAGAGCGACCAGAACATAAAAGTTTTACATTTTGTGCGTGAGTGAGTGAGTGAGTGAGTGAGTGAGCGGAATGTGATGCCTTATCTGAAATATTTTTAGGATATAAGTAAATTGATGAAATATGTTAGCTTCCAGTGTAAGTGACAGTCATACAAAGTGATATATCAGAATTAAAATATCTTTCAGTAAATCATCTACATAACAAGCTGTCAGTTTGCAGTTTACATCAACACAACAGATAGGCCAGCAGATCTGTCAGTCTGTTGTACAGAGGGGCGGTGGGGTAGCCTAGTGGTTAAAGCGTTGGCTCGTCATGTCGAAGACCCCGGGTTCGAATCCCCACATGGGTACAATGTGTGAAGCCCATTTCTGGTGTCCCCCGCCGTGATGTTGCTGGAATATTGCTAAAAGCGGCGTAAAGCCAAACTCAGTCAGTCAGTCAGTGTTGTACAGAGTTGCTTCCCTTAGACATGTTCAATTTGCCCTGATGGTATCTTCAGGTTTTCCAGCACCATTTCTTTGACCAAGTTTGCTACTATCACATCCAGAAGTGATCCCTGCTGCCACTGTTGGCAACAAGTGCATTATGAGTTGTCCGAGTAATACAGATATCCCTGGACAGATAAGATATATAGCGACTCTGACAGCTGATTGGCTAGATATTAAGCCAAAATACGTCTTTACACACAAACAGATCTGAAACTGTCAGTGGGCACTGACAACCATAGCTCTACAACCATCAGTATCTTCTTAGAAAACAGGAATTCTTCGGATGCTGCATTTCTAGAAAAGAACAGGGCTCCAGATAAGGGACGTATCGGCGTATGTACGGATAAACAATATGCACGATACGGTAGGAAATAATTAAGAAAACGTAGCACATACACACCACAGCAATGGTGTATGCTCTTGGAATCATTTACAGACATATTTATCTGAAAGAGTATTGTTTTATTGTTTTTTTACCTGTTTACACAAGAGTAGCAATGTTGTGGTGCATATATGAAACGAAACACAAGATTACTGATCCGCCATTAAATTCCATTCAGTACTCTAAATGTACTCTTAAGTTTATCCAGTACTCCTATATTGACAAAAAATAAGGAGTACGTACTCCTGATGTTGAAAAATTATCAGGAGCCCTGAAAGAATATATTAAAAACACTACTTCAGCAACCTATATTCGTTGTAGGTGACAAACAGGATCGGCTGGTTGGGCCTGCTGACCTGCTTCATGCAAATCATCATTTCTAATGTCTGAGATCAATGTTCATGATGTTAATCACTGGATTGTCGGATCCAGGTTCCCAAACTAGCAAACTGACATCACACAGCGGGATTATTCCCAAGTGCAGCATTAAACACAAAACAAATAAACAAACATTGACAGATGACAAAACAAAATAGGAACTCTGTGTGCGTGCGTGTGTGCGTGTGCGTGCGTGCATTTGTGTGTGTATGTATGACTATTGACTAACAGTACCTGGATGACGCAGAGAAAATAACAGAATCCACGCCAAACCGACTATTGGCTGACAATGACACAGTCTACTAGGCAACAGCACTGTGACCCAATCCTCTTTCGTCATCTCAGATAACAAACACGGACACTTAACACACATTTTGACACAAAGCTCAAGCAGCTTTCAACAAGTGTTTGTTGGGTTGGTTCGAATTTACAAGCAATCTATACAATTAAGTCTCCTCAACAGATAGACATCACAAGCATCTATCAACAATGCAATAATCTAATCAATAACTTCTTCCTGCAAGCTGGGATTATATTTTGAATCCTTTACCATTTGTTAAAATATATGGAGTTGACGACCTACTCTGCCACAAATTATTATATAACACAATGCTTTTTTTAAGTTACCTGCACATAAAGATGGCACACAACAGTTACAGCAATGGCATAATTACCCAAACTATACTATTACAGACAAAACACAACAGAGCAGTTTTTACAGACCCACCTCTCAAATACGCCACAGCCCTCTGACTGGCCAGGTAACTTGCTAGTATAAGTTGTAACTGCCTTGAACCAGACTAAGACGGTAAGATGATAACGTCATCGCTCTCCCACCCACCTCAGTTTAATGCAGCAGGGTGTATGGCTCGTCTTATCTGTGCACTTTATCTTTAGTCATGTAGTGTTTTTATGACATCTGACAAGATCTGTTGTTTGTTGAATGGTAGGTAATTGATGCTGTTGATGGTAAATAGACACATGACCTTGTGTAATATATTTATTATTTAGAGGGTATTCTTGTGATTTAATTTAACCGATTATTAATCGATGATTGATCGGTTGGGCCAATCCGATGGTAACTAATGATTGATTATGAAATCACAACCAATTCCCACCACTAATATAACCTGAAGTTCA